GACTGCCGTGTCCATTTGATCAGTGTATTTCCATCTGCTGTTTGCACAAATTGTATTATTCGCTTCTACTTGCGCTCTTTGTTTACATATTGGCATAACAGCTTGTGGTTTGAAAACATTCACCCTACCGATTGGTGCTGATATGCATTTTTCTTCTCTTTGACAAGTTGAATACAGCGGTTTTGTTGAGCCATATAAGCAATTAAAGTCTCGGTGCTCAGAGAGATCACATAGATATACCTAACCGAGTCCCACACCGCCTAACAGATGCATGTCTTGTTTCGTACAAATAAGACCACATTTCTCGTCAAGGGTAGCTCTGGTTGGTAAAGCGCAGTGAGTAGACATCGGTAATCCTAATCGAATGGAGTTAACTATTCTATTCCGGTTGAAGTAGGAAGAGAGAAATAGTGCAACCGCATGCTACCTAGTTTGTTTTTACTAAGAATAATACGCATGGTACGGATATCCATCTTCGTATTCAGACGACGTCAAAATTGTGTCCTATTAATCTTGATAATCTAGCAAGTTACCTGAATAATATATGTGAGGTTAATCAGAATTAAATACATGTTCTTTGCTACACGCACCATAAAACTCGAGACTTATCGCTCGATATCAACCTTGAACTTTCATCAAAGAACTACTTATGAATTGGCTGCGGGTAAGCATACCTAAAAAACGCACAGAGTGACTAACCACCAAGAAAAATACTACTAAATTTAAACTTTTTATAAAACTGAAAGCTCTCAGATTTCCGATTTGCAACCATGTGAGAATGGTTATTCTGTTTGAAATTTATATTTCCTGTCGGGAAATAAAGTAATGTCTTTACGTATTTGTTGATAGCCGGTGCTAACGAGGAATCTCATCACGAGAATCTTAAGACAATGGTTGTTTCCCTGGCAACCAGTGATTTTGCAGTAAATCATGATTGCTGTAGTGTTTAGTAGACTTCTATTTATTTTATTGATCACTGCACTGGTCGGCATGGTGTAGGGACCTAACAAGACGGAGGCCAAGCTATCCAGAACATTACTGAACATCGTATCTGACATATGCCGGTTCAGCAGCTAACTAGGGAGTTGCGGTCAACAGTCACTCCACTACAACGATTTATTTTATCTTTTTGACTAATCTACTAGGTTGACACGAAAGCGGCAATATAGTACTACCTGCTCTCACCACCGAAGCAAATAAGAGAAGAAAAGCGGATTTAGCTGAGGACGTCATGCTTCACAACTGTCCCAGAGCTGTCTCGATGAGATGCTAGCATCGCATAATAATCATCCTCATTTACAAGGTAGCCAATCATGGTGTGACCGTAAACTAACGACAGAGTACTCTACTTCCGGTGCTCGGCAACTTCATGGAAACTGTCGTCCTAGAAGCGCTAATGGGGCCTTTGGAAAGTGTAATAACATCGACCAACAGCAGCCCAGCTCCCGCAGACGACGATTACGTGGCACTGCAATGTGATCTCAACAGGGTTTAGGAGTAGTCATCTCAAAGCAAGCTTGAGTTTAACTCTGTCGGATATAAGATAATGAGAAAACTCTACGAGAGCACTTATGAATATAGCTAATTTCAAGACTCCTTTAATGGTGCATTAACAGACCTGCAGTAATTGATTTAACTGGAACAGGCGACAACGTATCCACACTGTGTGTACATGTGAAGATTGTTGTTAGTTCACTGGTACGAGTTTACCTTGATACATACATTTTCAGTTTTCAGTTTATCCCTACGGAAATTGTTCAACATTCGTTTTTTATTTGGTACAAGTCCATTGTTCCATTGTACCAACGGTGAGGATGAGCGTTTCTATAAGCAGACATCGTTGTCTACCCAATGATGTAGGCGGTAACTTTATCAGTGTTTATGTTAGGCATTTCTTTTATCATCAAAACAGGCTTTCGGACATCAAAGGCGGAACTAGTTTACGGTCAAGTGTTGCACTTATCGATGTGATGGCATATTGGCTGGACAGTTACTAGCCAAAATATATTCACTGTGATAAGACGAGCTGACTGCAAGCGCTTGCTTCCTTAATGATACGCATCATTGTATGCATATTTTGCATTCGTGTTAATGATCACCATGGACCAGTAGGACACTCACACGAATGGGCACTCAATGAGATGCATCGTTAGGACCGCGTTTACATTACCGTATTCCATGGCAAAAGTGAGGCTGTTATCATCGATTTCCTTAACTTTAAGTGTCTGGAATCCGACAATCTACCGACAGTGATAACGCCTGGTCCTCTCCACAGACCAGAATCAATCACGATATTACCTCACCTGCCAGTCCTCAGGCTTTTCGACCAGATAAAACTCCGAAGTCTACCGAACTTACATCTGGGTCACAGAACTCTACTAAGTAAATTGGAAAGGTATATAAGCAAGCCGACTAAAAATGAAGTCTCCATTTTCCTTCTACTCATGTTCCTTACCTTTCGGGCCAAAGCGAAACGACTAGCAGAGGAAATATTCGAAAACCTATGAATAGTCTCAATTGTCCACCCCTTACTGCATCATCCCGTAAGCGGCGCTACTATCTGTTTGCCTCCGTCGCATTTATTAGTCTCAACTCCATCAATGTTTATTGGTTGAATTGGCCAACTGGCGGATACTGCAATTCAAGCGGGTATTTGATGCCTATAAACTTCCACTCTATTTCGTTGTTGGTACTGTTAGAGGGGACACTGTGAGAGCCTTCTAATACTAACTCGTATCAGTGCACCACTAGAAGCTGCAACAGATTTCACTAACTTGTCTCACAGCAAAGTGAGACAGGTTTCACTCGAGTAAATGATCATGTATCGCCAAGCTAGGATCGCACATTGCTGGAGAAATTCACCGGGACTTGTATCCTGTTAACGGACCAGCTTGCAAAGCCAACTTTCCGTTTCTGGCTAAGTGGGACGAAACTGGCAAAATGCGTGTATAGCCCGTTCCGCGGTACTATTCTATAGATACTCCGCTTGACCGATACGTCTAACCTACCGCTCATATAAACGTTTATGAATGACCTGGCGTTGTCGCATTCAGATTCTAGTGAATTTTATGTTACTAATGGGGTCAGAACTCGGCAGGGGTCCGAGGAAGCGCCCCACTGACGAGAGCCAAAAGGTCGAAGCAGTGCTGTCTGGTGCTTTTCCAGACGTGTAATGGCCACTAACTGAGAGTGTACTGTGATGAATTACCACTGAATTTTGTCATTGTGGGCCGAATTAAACTGCGTCCATAGTTCTGCCGTGTACAGGTGAATATCTGTGATGCACAGTATATCATCTATGAAATGTACGTAGTAGACTAAGTAATTAATTGCTCTACTCGGACAGCTGTTTTCCAATTTACGCATAAATACATCTGCCAGTAGCAGTCCTAGCGGTGAGCCTATAGCAACTCCGTCATTCTATCTATAAATAGACCCGTCGAACGGAAATTGTATTTTGCAGGAATATTCACGCGGTATAACACGGCTCAAGATTGCATAAAACTCAACTTGTCAAAAAGCACCGTGTTGCTTCACGCAATGAAAGCATTTCCTGATAATTTGTTTAACAAAAGTACCGAAAGGTATGTCTGACATCAACAGATTGCGAATTTTGTATGCATCTTCAAATTATTTCAAAATATACTGGGGGTCAGAATTCATAAACAAAAGAATTCGTCATAGACGCTGTTAAATGTGACAAATTTGGTATTGATCGTGTAAAACTGAGTTTAAGCCAATACAACATTGGTCGAGCTGATGGTGTCAAAAGGAACCTGATCGTATTCTTTTCTATTTTTGGCCTACATATATATATGGCACAATCAATTGCTGAAAAGCTGACTTTCCTAACACTGAAATCGGAACTTCACCCTGTGTGCATAATGAGCAGAGCGTTCAAAAACAAGCCTCTCATATCCGTCACTTGGGGTCCGGCCGATTTCGGAATGCCCACCCCGTTTTCCGCCCACCGAAGTAAACATCACAACCAGTTGATTCTACGTTTAGAATCGTCGGTTAACGGTTGACAGAGTTGGAATTAAATAGAAGCATAAATCACAACGACGGACACAGATTCGGGATCATACACCCTTGCGAACGTAACTTGTCACCAGGGTTACGGAGCCATGGTTAGAATTGGGAGCATTTGTTATGTCATTAGATTGCACCGCTTGTGATTTACTTTTAGACTAACCACCGCTGTCTTGAGCGTTGATTACTATTCAGAGTACAAAGTCCAACTATTAGCCGCTGGCCCCGAATTCGCTGCGACCAGAAGCATTCTGATATCGTCCTAATGATTGGGAAGTAATCAGTCCCACTCAAACTAAAGCATCGTCCTACCTGACTGTCACAATTCAATCACACAATCAGATTTTCATCTCAAAATTTCGACGCGAGGAATACGTCCTCATTTACAGGTACTCGTGGATAGTTGTAGGGTCTGTTAGAAGTACTTCTACGCATGTTTCATCTGAACCTCATATTCTAAGGAGAGTATTACAGGAACAATCTGTCGTTACAAAGAACTAATGCTATCAGTAATCCGAAATCAGGTGGTTGATGAACTTTGTCCTATTGCCGAGACATTAACTTCAAAGTGCGGCAAAATTATCCTTATCTTCCCGTATTTAACAATGGATACACCGCTATTGTTAAGTTTAGAACCCAACGGTGTGATTTATCTCAATTCGAGTAATGTTGCATGCAGTAAAACAGATACGGTGTAGCCAAGATAGGTAGACAAGCACACCCGTAAGTGAAAATCGTCTACTCGCGTCTTTTTTATCAAGCTGGGTGCCACAAGTTAAGTCGTTATTCGTTGGCAACTCATTATATGCTCACTTGCACCTGATTTGTGTTCTCCAGAAGACCGGATGACGACATAACGAGATAACACGTCGGTACCTACCCTTGGATTTTACTATACCACTCATTATCCGTCAAAGTAAAGCTAGCAGTCCTTTTATATTTGTTGCTCCCATTTATGTTTCGCTCAGGATCCCGGTTCTATTCTCCAAAGTCGGCATTATCGGTCGAGTGCTGAGCGTGCTGTTCTTTCTCTCTCTTTATTTCGCCGGAATCAGCTCGCTACTCGGAGACATACACGTCTGTATATTGGTTATCAAAGAATTCGGAGGTAAGAGATGGAGGAAACTGCGTTTCTTTAGTTACATTATATCGAATCCCTAGCATTGGAGAGTGCTGATGATATCCACCAAAGCAGTAGCAGGTTGGTAGATCAATCTAGCAGTTCTATCGCAGTCATCCATTGTTTAGTAGAATAAATTTGTGATTGTCGATTACTGAAATTTGCAGTTGGGTCATTTATTTACCAGAGTTAGTTTATGCACCAGCGAAGCATCAGGACTCAATCCCACCGTAACCTGGGACTTTCGTCCCTCAAGATATTCTAGTCCCGTTGAAGTTCAGTGGACAGGCACATTGGGATATAATACAATTGTCTATAGATTGTGTTTGAAAACGATAGGTATTGGTTATATCACTTTATCTTTTTCGGACTCAGTTTCCTACCGCATCGCCGTTGGTGTCTCCCTGTTGGCCTGTGGTCTCTGCGGCCTCCCATCTGCTATCTGGTTACAGGTGCTGGAGAACCAGGTGAGCCGGATTCTTTAAGAAGGATTTATTTTCTGCCAAGTTATAATATCGAATTATATGTAAATTCTATTTCTACTTTTGCAGGATGACACTTGGGCTTATGCCCTCATCGTCTCCGGATTTCTGCTATCTCTGCTAGTCACAGTGTACGGCCCGCTGCGCTTCCGTCATGTAGTTATTAACGAATTTGGTACTGACGATTGGAAGGTGCCTATACTCTGGGTGCCCATCATCACGTGAGTTTTAGTTGGCTAGTTGAATCGATTTGTCCACGTACATAGAACTGCCTTATGAGTGCTCAACGCGATCCTGTCACCCGTACTGGTTCAAGTGATCAGAAATTAGCAACTTGATTTTCAAGAGCAAGCCGACAGTAAGCTGTAAATTGCTGTGCCATAGACTCCACGCCTCCTACCTTATTAGCCTGGTTAGCAATGCCTTCTTACCAAACTGTCGAAACATTCAGACGTGAACGATGGCTGCTTTAACATCCTAATAGCATAATGATCACACGAAAACCGTATTAGGCCATCAATAACGTGAAGTTGCTTTGTAGTCATTGACAGGAGCCCACTTCACTACGGTCGTTTCCTTACACTCACTGCTTGCCAACAGAGGAGTCCGGGGTCACTCGTTAAGGAGAAATCGTGGAAAGCGCTGCATCCGTAGTAATATTGATATTACCATTAGTTTCAGTTATTGAGATTTCCTCACTAAAGTTATGCCACCTCATTGTCGATCAACGTTGGACCACCTCCTTTGTTTCACCTTATCACAACCTCTCCGTTCTAGTGTTCTCGTCCCTTTAGAGGCCGGATTCTTGATAGGATGGTGGATCTACGGTGCCATTGCGAGTGATCCAAACTGGTACCAAATCAACTTTACTTCTGTCCTGACCACCTTAGTCGAAGTGAGTGGAGATCGTCTCTTATTGCAACTAGTTAGGTAGATGTTTGATCGCTTAATTTTTCTTGCAAGCTTTAGCAATTAGTTATTTCCTCAGTGTGCAAGTTGAGCAAACGTACCCTTCCTCATTAGCTAAATGTGTATCACAAATTTGGGACGAAAAGTTCACTTTCCCACTTGGTGTTCCTCATTGGTCTTCACCATATTCATCGGAAGATAAGGATAACAAACAGGTATGCCTCAATGGCAGAGGTACAACATATAATTTAATATCCAAAAGTGCCTCATAGTATCCGGGTTCATCAAATTTGGTTTGTCGGGTAATGAACATGGAACGGACGCCAACTTCAGTAAACCGACGGTGAGACCATTTGGGATTGATAAAGAATTAGTATCATATATATATATATATATATATATATATATATATATATATATATATATTAGGCGGCATCCGGTTTCCGATTTGCCTGTCAATGTGGCCAGCCACAGGACGCATGCGCCTACAGAGGGACCATGGGTGGCTTGCGCCGCACCACCCACAGCTCCATCCACACACCCCATATCCAGTGCAAACCTGAAGGAATAAGACCGGGAGGCATGTGGATGGGAGCCACGTTTCATCAACGGAGCCGGTCCACACACCTTCAAAGGAAAATACATGCACGCTGTATTTGGGGCATCAAGTGCACACAAGGCGGTGACTGGACCGTAGTACGCTCCACATTGAGTGCTTGGAACGGCTCTTCGAGCCTACCACGGCCACAGGGACCGTGCACCCCCTCCCCTCCAGCGACGATTAACCGTCTCCTAGAGCCACTATGGACGAGGTAGTGGGTAATGGACAGGTAGGCACCTTGTCACCATGCACATCAAGCGCAGCCACACCGGGGATATCAAGCAACAGCCAGTCACTTGTAACGACAAGATGGATTAAAGTAAATCGGATAATGCATACAGATACGGAGACATTCCTTTTCACTAAATGGGCGTATGCAAAAATTGATTACGAACGAATCCGCGATAAGTTCAACAGGTAAGAAAACCTACTTTAAGGAAATGCCACAAATGAGAAAATGTTATGGAAATTAACTACAATTAGCTTCAGTGACGTGTGCAAGTTTGTAGAAGATAGTACAGGTAGAGATTATTATGAGAATGAAAAGCATTAGGACGAAATTGCAAACCCACCACCTGAAATAAATAGACAGCATGTCAGCACGCGGTTAGTAAAGCGAATGCAGTGTACCTACAAACGCTGTCCTGGTTCTGCCTACGTTCTCTGTAGGACCCGTCGTCGCTTCGGTGGTAGTCCAGAGTGGCCTCGCTCATGGCTCACAAGGCCTGCCCGACTCAGGCAATCGCCACCGCATGTGCTACATTACCATGCGCTCGATGTCGATGGAGTACAATTCATTGGTGCTTGCCGCTTCCGCACTTGCCGCTTCTTCTCTGCATGCATGAGGTCTTTCTCATGCACATCGGCAACTGCCTTCATGATTAGATCGCGCCATGCACGCCGATCAACCGCCTGCGATTCCCTTGACCTGCAATCAAGATTAGAACGTGAGAGGCTCACATTGATCATGTCCTGGTAACGTAAGTTCGGTTTCCCTACATGCTGCTTCGTAATACTCAGCTGACCACATAATAGTTGTTTCGGTATCCGCGTCGAATCCATACAGCTCACATGACCGAGCCACCTCAGATGTCTCAGCAAAAGTATGCAGTCCACTGCATACATTTCACTTCGACGCAACACTTCCGTGTCCGCAAATCTGTCGCCTCAACCAATGCGCAAAATCTGTTGAAAACCCTGTTGATGGAACCGCTCGATATATCGCACATCCTGCCGGTACATCGTCCACGTTTCACTGCCGTATAGCAGAAAATACAGCACCATGGATTTGTACACCATCAGCTTCGTGCCAATGGTTAGCTGATGGTTGTTCCACACCCGGTACTCAAGCTTCCCGAATGCCGCTGCTGCCTTCGACACGCGAATACGCAACTCAATGTGTAGCTGCTGATCAGTCGACATCACACTCCCAAGGCAGCAGAAGCGTGAGGTGGTTTCTAGTACTTCAGCACCAATGCTGATTCGCGGCAATATTGAAGATTGCACCTCCGGTGAAGGCTGGAAGAAACAGACAGTTTTGCTTGTGTTTATGGTGAGCCCGAAGTTGGCCGCTGTCGAAGCCAGAGCACTAGTTATGTGCTGCAAATCACCCGCGCTATGTGAAAACAACGCACAGTCGTCAAGAAACAGCAACATACGGATAGTTGTCTTACAGACTTGGTTTTTCGAACCGAAACGACGGATGTTCAGCAACCCACCCTCAATACGGTGCTCCACACGAACACCGTAAGCACAAGCCGCATCAAAAGCACAATACATCACTGCATGAAGATAGATATTAAACAGGGCAGGAGCTAACACACAGCCTTGCTTCACACCAGTGACAACTGCAAAGTCATCCGAGGTCTCTCCACTCAGCTGCACCCTCTCTCGCATACCACTGTGCAGACATCCAATTAAACTTACAAACTTACGCGGGCAACCAAACTTACCCAACACCAGCCACAATGTCTCGCGGTTCCCCGTATCAAATGCTTTGGTGAAATCAACAAAAAGCGAGTACAGTGGCTGGTGTCGTTCTCTACACTTCTCCTGCAACTGACGAGCCGCAAACACCATATCTATAGTGCTGCGACCCGAACGGAATCCACATTGCTCCTCCGCCACGTTAGGTTCCACAACCTGACTGACGATGCGCCTAAGAAAGATTCGGGCAATCACCGTACCCACGCAACTCAGCAAGTTGATGCCACGATAATTAGTGCAACATTGCTTGCTCCTTTGCCTTTGTACAGTGATAGCACAAGGGCATTCTTCGGCTCAGCAAGCACCTCCTTCTCAATCCATACGCGTTGCACCAAGTAGTGCAGCGCAGTCACGAACGCAGGTACGCCGTGTTACAATACTTCAGGCAAGATCCCGTCGGCTCCGGCACAATTGCCGTTTCGCGGCTGAGCAAGTGCTCTGTGCGTCTCATCCAGTGTCGGCGTGTCCGCCAGACTTGATTTCAAATCGTGCTGCTTTAGGCCGCTCAGTAAAGGCCAGTCGATCTCTGGACGGTTGTTCCAGAGACAGCCAAAGTTCAGAGAGGTTTGGAAACAATCGGTTGGGATAGTAGTTCGGTAACGTTTCGCTCTTGACACAAGAGCTCCGTCAGACCAGGTGAATCAGTGTGCATTTGGAGTGGGATTTTATAGCGAACAGGAATGATAACCACGTTACCCGAGACTTGAGTCAAGGTGTCTTTACAGTCACAGTTCGTGAAGTCAGCTCAGGTAGTTCAATCACAGTAGGAATAGTCCAGGTGTTCCTTTGTGCTTCATGGCATTGACGGATAAGCCCGGATAAGCCCGCAATTCCAACTGCCTCGACAATCAATTGCTGAGGCGTTGATCGTATACCCCTCCGAATGACCTCTACGCTTTCCAAGTCTGTCTAGTGACCCGTGTCAAATGCATGCACAGCCACGGCCTAGTCTCTTACTATTGCCTGGTATTCAAACTCGTTTCTTGGTGGTCTTGAAATGTGCCGCCTGTGCTCTAAAATTCATGTGCGTAATTCTCTCGCTGTTTGGCCTATGTACACGTTTGCACAGTCCTTAGCTTTAATTTTATAAACACAATTACTCGTCCTATCCTTGGGAAGGGGATCCTTCAGGCGTATCAGCGCCAAATGTCGCGTTCGACCTCGCTGAAATATCACGCTTATATTTTCCGTGTTTAATACCCTCCGAAGCGCCTTCCCTATACGGAATTTCTACCGTCCCTATCCACTCGGCTGTGAATCTTGACACTTTATGCAATTGGCGTTTGACTAGCCGCCGTGCATAACCACTTTTTAATAGTTTGCTCATTGCCACTTTCCGCGCAGTCATTTTGTCCTCCTCCATCGTGCACAGGGTTTGCGCCCTGTAGAACTACGCCGAGAGTATCCCAGCGTAAACCTGTTTCGGATGACCCGAAGTGTAATGGAGTATGCCGTGAGTATCCGTTGGCTTGCGATATATTGTCCTCTTTAAATTTTCTCCATTCCTGTGAACCAGGCAGTCAAGAAATGGTATTGTACCGCTACAAGGTTTCAACTCAAGAGTAATCTGTATCCTCTCATCAATGGAGTTTAAGCGATTGAGCAACTAGTCCTTCTTATCCTGTTTTACAAGCACAATGGTGTCGGCTACACAGCACCACCAAACTTTTGGTGAGTTATTGGTGTTTGTTAACACCTTGTGCTCTAAGTCTTCCATATAGAAGTTCGCCAGTACAGGGAATATTGGCGATCCCATGATGAGACCTTGTTCCTGACTGTACAGCTTCCACTGAAAAACGGAATAAGACATGTTAAGACACACTGCCATATCCTCGATTATCTGGTTAACCGTTAAGTTCGATCACTCAGAGTGACGTCTCCACTTGGACAACATCTTGCTCTTCCTAACGCCTCCTCTTCGAGTACACTGGTGAAAAGTGATGTGACATCGAAGCTTACCATTAACTCATCTGGCTCAATTTTGGGACTTGCTATCTTTTGAGCGAATTCATAGGAGTTTTCACGAATGTACTCGTTCGCCCTGCAGTATAATTGCCAAATACCTAGCGAGTTCATAGGTCGGGGAGCCCATACCGCCGACTATGGGCCGTACGCGAACTTCGGGTTTGTGCAATTTTGGTAAGCCATAAACCCTCGGAGGTAAAGTCGATTTTGGGAATGGACTTTACCACTTACCTGCCCCTAATGCTACCTATCCTACTGACAGGTCCCGGTCTATCGATAGCTATTGTAATATACTTTATATGTCAGATAGGATTTTGAATGAAACGGAATGCAGATTGTTGGAGAAAGGTTTGACACTTACCATCAATAAATTTAAGATTTTTAAGATATGCGGAAGAGATTATTCCAAGCGTTGAGAGCGCGGTGACAAAGTT